TATTTCGCGAGGCATCCTTCCTTTGACGGCTATTGCGGTATCATCTGTGAAAAGGAAAAACACGCAACCGTCTCCAAGGGGAGACATGTCGGAAGTGTAAATGCTGTAAAGCAAGGGGCCCAGCAGACTGCCTTGCGGGACTCCTGCTGGGATGGAAAACGTGTCTGAAAGACAACCATTCAACGATACCTTAAACGACCTTTGCTGGAGGTAGCTACGGGTGATTTTAATCAGATGTAATGGAAAGTTGAAGTTACAGAGCTTGTATACAAGCCCATTGTGCCAGACATTATCAAACGCTTTCTCAACGTCTAACAAGGCCATGGCTGTGGACTTGGATACAGCTTTGTTACTTCGGATGTTATTCATCACCCGCACTAGCTGGTGATTGGTGGAGTGCCCCTTTCTGAACCCAAACTGTTCCGGAAGGAGAATGTTATTTTCCTCGACAAACTTAAGCAAACGATTGAGAATGAGTTTCTCGAACAATTTGCTCAGCGCTGAAAGGAGGCTGATTGGTCTGTAGCTTGAAGCTAGCGTTGGGTCCTTCCCGGGTTTGCGGATAGGTATGATTTTCGCTGTCTTCCAGATACTTGGAAAGTAGTGCAGTTCCAAGCATCTGTTGAAGACAGCAGCCAGCAGAGAGTGAACCTTCATGCTGAGATTTTTCAACACTAAGTTGAATATTCCGTCAAACCCGGGGGCCTTCATGTTTTTGGTGCATTTCAGCGCTGAGCAAATCTGTTCCACTGTGATTCTATCCTCCGGAGGGATGGCACAAGGGAAGTATTCAAGGTTGAGTACGCATTGCTCAACCTGAACTTCGAGCGGACTTTGGATGTTGGAGCCAAGCAAGTGCGATTTGGCAATATGCTCACCAATCGCATTTGCTTTCTCCTGAGGGGTGATTATGAGCCGATCGTCATCATTTTCATCTTTTAGTGGCGGAATGGGTTTAGGGTGCGTCTTTAAGACCTTGGCAACTTTCCAGAATGGTCTGGAGCGGTCGTCCAGATTCTGGACAAGCCGCCCAAAACTTTCGTTCCGGAGTGAGATCATTCTGGAAGCAATCTCCTTGTTCAGATCGGCCATTTCACGTTTCATCGGTTGATCTCCAGTCCTCTGAAACTGGCGTCTACGAACATTTCTCAGGCGAATTAAGAGTTAGGTGTGGGAATCAATAGCAATAAACTTACCCCTCACAGGAACTCGTCGGATGCACGCCTCGTCAGCCACGGTTATGGCTTGGTGGAGTCCCTCCAACGCTCGGTCGATGTCCTCCACGGTGTCAAGCGGCGGGTTGTCGATGATGTGCCTGTCTACCACGTGTCCAAACTGGGCCCAGTTTACGCGATGATAGTCCTTGCGCAGGCTTGAAGAAGGAGCCACGTTGCAGCCCAGCTCAGACACTACCGGTTGGTGGTCGGAACTGAGTTCGTTCAAGGCTACCGGCTTGGACAAGCCGATATTTGTCAGGAACAGGTCTAGCGTCGATGGGTTACCCGCCGGTGAGATAAATGTTGGCTCATCCGAAAACCAAACGGAGTACAGCCCATGCTGTGAGTGGTCGAACAGCAGACGACCGTTCTGGTTCTGCCTGTAGTTAAGCCAGGCCTCATGGCGAGCGTTTAGATCTCCTCCTACTACGAAGCGGGAACCGTTACGGGTGATGGTGGAAAGGTCCTTCTTGAATTTAGCAGCTAGTCCACTGCTGGCGGCACACTGACGATGGCAGTAGACGGCGATGAACTGGACGTATCCAGTCGACGACTCCACCTCCACACCAAGGGCCTCGATGATAGTGGTGCGGATATGGGACAGAGTGTGGTATTTTATTCCTTTCTTGACGACGACCGCAACACCACCCCCCCTGGAGCTGGTGCGATCAAGCCGGATAATGTTGTGGTCAGGCAACCAGAAGCTGTCGCCGGACTTTAGATGGGTCTCGGTTAAAAGGCCCACGTCGATGCTGTGCTTGCGAAGGAAGTCGGCAAGCTCAATCTCTTTTGCTCTTACAGAGCAAGCATTCCAGGTGACGATACTTAGCGGTTTAGACGCCATACTGGATGATGAACTTACCGAGCACTTGGATCTGTTCAGGCTTATTGCGGCACTTACGAAGAGCACCGGACATGTTGACGAAGATTTCCATCAGTTCATCCGCTGAGAACAGATCGGGGTTGTTGTTTTGCGCTGTTGGTTGTCTCCAGAATCCAGGGGGGATGGAGAGCTTTGGCCAGCAGAATCACCGGAAGTTGCTTGAGCGGAATGCACCCGCGAATTCACTTGCCTTTGCTGAGGAGCACGAAGGGGTGGGAAATCCTCCGTCCGAAATGCCAGGACTTTGTCCTTCTTGCGTCCTGGTTGGTTGTTAACTGACGGTGAAACAAATCTGGTGCCTCTATATATGCAATTATATTAACATCCAAAGTCCATCCTATTTTACATATTCTGCACAAAAGAAACTTTCTGCTCCGCTCCATTCATAAAAAAACTGCGGGAAATCCTATCAGGTTCTGAACCTGAAAAGATATAAAACAGCGCTGCTGTCATGCGTTTGCTCATTGTCGTTTCGGACGGCGTGGCACTTGGTCCTGCAGTAAGCAGGACCAAACCAGCGGCTAAAGGTGGATCACGGCGTGACCACAATGAGGAAAAGTAATTATGTAAACCCCCTCCCCCTTTCACAACAACCTCTCCCCCTACCCCCTTCACATCAATATCTCCCCCACTCATCAACAACCTCTCCTAAACCCTTCCCCACTTATCAACAACCTTTCCTAACCCCCCCCCCCCACTGATCAACAACCTCTCCTAACCACCCCCCCCCCCACCCATCAAATCGCACACATGAGTAATTGCAACGTGATCAACAAATCAATATCTATGTGTCGGCCACATACTTAATATACGTACATATAAAAACCATGCGTGACCACACATACTATTCATTTGCGTTTAAATTTCATGTGTTCTTCTGAGTGGATTCTGTTTATGTTTGGTCAAATGAAAATCATGTGGAATTTCACATGGATATTTGTCAAGAAAAATGTGTACATTGTTTTGAGTCAACCATAACCGAAACATTGAAATACTTGAAAATTTTAAGATGAAGTATAAGTCAAAAATGCATAAAAAACATCAATTTTGTGTGGTTCTACGTCATACTGCGGTCGTGTCTAGGGCACAACCCTTTAATTTTTTTCGCAACCTTTTTTGCCTGTGTAATTTAATTATTTTTCACTTGCTTCAAATGTCACTTCGCTTCGATCTGTATAGTAGGCTAAACCAAACGGCCCTTGTCAAGGCCATCAACAGTGTTTGGAAAAAGAGTAAATTTTAAATTCAAGCTGAACAATGCAGTAACATTGACAGATTCTCTTCTCCTACTTTCTCTTTGCATCCTCACGGACAGCTATGTTCAGCACACAAATCCATGAAAGAAGCTGTTATCTAGCTTCTATACGTACACAACAAGTAATGGTTCTGTACTCAAGTTATTAACGAAAGAGAAAGTCGATGAAGAGAATCGATCAATGTTACTTAGGACGTAATATATTGTTCAGCTTCAATTCGACAGTGATTATTCATAAGGGCGGAAACACGATGATCGATTCTCTTCGTCGATTTTCTCTTTTGTTAATAACTCGCTAGAATTAACGTTTCTCGGGGCGTTTGCTGTTGCTTTTGATAGCCAATACAACCTGTTACAACTCTGAATTGAAAAAATTCTCGAAAATTGTTTCGCTTAGCTGTATCAATGCAAAGAGAAAATCGATGAAGATAATCGATCATTGCGTATACGCCTTTAGGCATGTTCACTGTCGAATTGTTTATAACGTCCGTCCACCTCGCTGCCAGACATACACGTCATCACGCCCAACGCTCGTAGGTAGTCAACCAAGGACAAACAAGTTTGTGGACAGATGTCTCCAATAAATTTGCCGTACCTTCATTGATGGAGCATAAGTAGTAGTAACATTTCGATTATTTCCATTGGCTATGCTATTTTAGCATGGATTTTACATTGCAGTTGATTTGTCTAATGAGATCTTCGTCTTTTATTGAACGGTTGATTTATTTTTAATTTAATTTTCTGTTATTCAATTAGTTTACATTACCTACTCATTTGATTTGAAATTTTGTATATCCTACCAAGTAAAAGAAAATATCTCAGTCATACAAAATTATGAACGTGATACCAGAAAACGATATCGATGGGCATGACATAAGAGGTAAAATATCTCAACATAATACCGAAAACTTATTTCCGCAATTTCGCTTCAATATCAAATTAAACACTAATTACTCTTATCTATCGATTGAGCAAACCAAAATTTACAAAATATGCTATTTTTCAAGATTTCGTAGATTGTGGACGCACATCAATCATGTTGCATAAGAAAACGGTGGGAATTGATTTATCTATCACAGATTTCAGTACCTAGCACATAAGAAACCGAACGGTACCTCTATTTAGGCTGCTCTCCTACATGGAGAATAATGCTATGAAACGGCTTGCCTCGCCCCATCAGCAAAAAATCCGGAAAATTATAATTGAGGCGGGGCCATTCTCCAAGTAGGAAGGACTTACAATGCTAATCTAAAAACATAAATAGAGGTACCGTCAGATAATGTCAGTGCTTGGTACTGAAATCGTCGGTTCCATGCAATGCTGTCACAAGTCAAAATTGTTCATTTTTGAGATTTTTATGGCAAATGCCGGCAATCCAATGTAATCAATGTAATGAAATGTGAAGTTTCATTCAACGTATTTTGAAATTCGTGAAAAAATAAAGTTTATGCTCGAAAGATACAGTGATTGAAAAATAGTGAAATTGAATAAATCTATAGAAAGCGGTTTTAGTTTAAACCATCAGAACAGAATTTTTATCTATGGATTTTATGTAGGCTAACGGGAGGTTTTCCTGTGTTACTCTGGTTTGAGGTATTGTTGTTTTTGAGATTATATTTTTGCATATATAATATTTTTTTTTCAGGCAGGGTTGAATATTGGAGAAATGATATTATCTGTTAACAAGGATTCTTTAATCGGCTGTACTTATGAAACAGCAGCTTCTCTACTAAAAAAAACAGAAGGAGTGGTTTCTTTGAAGATATGTAATCCTAGTAAAACTAATGATACCGATGCCTATGCCAATAATTTGGATCCTAATGTGCCCAACACTGTGTCGGGTAAAAAATCTCCAGTTCCAACTACTGATGTAAAAATACCAAGTAGACCAGTTACGCCAAAACCTCAAGCATCGCCTGCAAAAGAAGTTGTTGATCCATCGAAAGCTGAAATCGCAACAAATGAAAACACTACTATTGAAATCAATACTGAAAAAAATCCATCAGGAATATGCGTCATTGGTGGATGCGATTCTCTAGTTAATGTAAGCTATGAGCAGATAAAGAGATTTACAATTTGATGAACTTTTTTGTTATTCAATTTAGCCAGAAAGAAAATCGTAATGAAATTATTTAAACTAATATTTTTATTCTCCTTTCAGACGGGAGCTGTGATAATTGATATTTTACCCAACAGTGTCGCATGTAAAGATAAGCGACTTCAGGTTTTTGATCAAATATTGGAGATAAACGGTACAAAAATTTCACTTGATCTTAGTGCGAAGCAAATACAAAAGGCTGTGAAGCAGTTGCTACCAAAAGTGAGTACCTTGTATACTATTGATCAACTGATGGGTTAAGGTGATTCTTGTTGAATGATGTATTTGGAATCTAATGGGCTACCCTCCAGTTTGATTCATAACCTCATAAGTCTGTGAAAAAGGTTAATGACGAATCCTTTTAATTTGTCGAACCTCTTAACGGAATCCCTTTATGAAGTGCTTTGAGTGGGTTGGTTTATTTCCTTTAAATTCCGTTATAATTGCTTATCTTTTGAAAGATACGCGTATTTCGTCTACTCGTTACGGTCAACGGTACGGAAAAGGCCAAGTAACCGATGACGAAACACGTCAGCTGATACATTGAAGTCGAACATATAAAAGAAGTTGTTGAATTGCCGGCTGCTTGCTCGAATTGGCTCGTGTTGTGTATAATTTCGGCACCGATTTTCCAATAACAGAAAGTCGCGTTGACGAAGAGGTCTCTCAGGGGCATACATATTTAGCTGAGCCAGCAGTGTTTGACAGTCAATGTCACCCGTAAGCAGCTTTCCAGTGAACATAGCTTGAGCGACCGTCCATCTCACCTCTAATGGTTCAATTCCCAGGAGACGGCAACGCTCCTCGTACGGTGGCAAGTTTGTAGGGTCACACCAGTTGAGGAAACGAAGAGCATATCTCACAAACTTGCGTTGAACGGATTCAATTCTAGTGATCGAGCTAAACTTGACTCCAATAAGGATCGCACAAGCGAGCAGTAGAGTGACCTGAGGCATAGCGGGTCACGGAACTCGTCGGCAATTTTGAAAATAAAAGCTCAATTTTTGATTAGCTCTGGAGATGATGTCATTGTAGTGGATTCTGAAAGTGAGTCTGCAGTCCAAGGTAACGCCGAGATCCGTTATGTGCTCTACACGAGCAAAACAGCGTCCGTAGAGAACATAGTCAAACATGATTGGTTCGATTTTTCGGTGATAGAAAATAATGTTATAATTTTCGATGCTTAGACTCATCAAATTTCTTGAGCACCAGTCAGCAAAAATACCTAACATATTCTGGAGATCCATTCCACATCGAACGCTCAACTGTTTCGGTCCAGTATTGCTTGCACTCCGTAATCGGTACTAGTTTTTTTTTTCCCCTATTGAGGTTTTTTTTCAATCCACTTTCATACGTGGTGTTGTAGTATACAACAGTGTAGTGAGCATCGCGGAATTGCAATTGTCGCTCAATCGTTCGAGAAAGGAAGCAGTCATTTCCGGCCGAGTCCGGCAGATGAGCTGTACATCTCTAACCAATAAGTTTCATCGCATCACGAAACGGCAAAATCGAGGTCATCGAGTTCACCACCTGGCAAGCCAGCCGGTGTTTTGTTGCAAACACTCGAGGGCAACAATAGAACGATCATCACCATCATCCTCACATCAGGATAGATCATCGTCATCAGCCACACTCCGTGCGCTTATGTGGAGAGTTAAGTAAAAAACGGGTATCTTCCGTTCTCCGCAACCTGATTAATCTCCATCCAGTGTCGATTAAATTTTCTGACACCTTTTTGTTTTTTTTTCCTGAGAAAGTTTTCATTTTTTTCTTTTTCTTTTGCAACTTGATTAATCTCCCTAGAGTGTTGATTAACTGTCCTGGCATATTTTTTTTTTCCATTTTAAAGGTTTGTTTTTGCTTTGTTGGATTAAGTATTATTTTTACCGTTATATTTTTTGGATAAGCTTTTTTTTTCATATATATATTTTTTATTCATTTTTATTATTATTTTTTCTTTACGCATATATAATATATTATATATTATATATAGGGGAAATGTAGGTAAAGTCGGCCTACATGTCCCTAATTTGGGCCCATCGCTAAAAGTCTGCTATTTATCAATTTTATCTAGATGAACGCGTCATAAGGACGGTACTAATGGATATTTTTGGTCGCTATTGCAAATTTAGTCGATTGCTGAATTTATGTATGGGCCCAAATTAGGGACATGTAGGCCGACATTACCTACATTTCCCCTATATATATATTTTCCTTTTTTATGTCGAAATCTGTTGCGGAGGTACTTAAGACCCCGCAATGGATGAAACCAATGATGGCGGGGGTATTTCGCTAGCAAATATCTCCGATGATGAGTCTGTTAAATCTCCATCATTCGAAAATCTGCTTCAAACTGAAGAGAAAATGGATACCTCAGGGTATTCGGACCCCAAAAACGAGCACTGGGTGCCAGTGCTGTAAATTTACATATCATTCGATTGAAGATGAATCATTACAACCATTCAATCAATTCTGTGTAAACGAATTCTCACATAACCATAATTTGAAGAGCCCCTTTCTCATTCGAAGCTCATTGTCACTGTCAATTGAGTCACTCACTATCATTTCCAGTATTTTTTTTTCCTTTGATTTTTTTTTTATCTGGTTCGTTTATTTGGAAGGCTCAATCGCGTTAGCTTTACGGAGCCGATAATTCATTGTTCACTGTGTGTAACAAAATTCACTTAATTCTATGTCTAGTAGGAGTTGGGCCGATTACTCGCGGCTTACTCGAGGTTAGAAGGGTACATTTTGGAAGGATAGGATCAGGGGAGGAGCTTGGGGTAGGGTTTCGTTGTTTCATCAGAGCGTTGTCGCCAGTATGAACGGTAGTGCTGTTCTAGCTTCGTCCGGAGTTTGACCGGCTATGGTGGGTGACCAGTGGGCGACGATGAGACTCATCGAGACGGGGACAAGACAAACAAAAACTAATAAAGAGAGACAAAAGACAAAAGGAATTAAATTCTTATACTAGACATTTGAAGAAAGACATAAACGGACTGCATATAGCAGAGATCACGGGTTGCCAACACGTCTCTGATAGGAACATAGGGTTGTCTTCCTTGGGCCTCGAGGGTATTCAAAAGTCGCTCTCTGGCAGCGTCATTATCCGTACATTGCCAAACTGCGTGTTCGATGTCATCGTAACCGTTTCCACACCGACAGATGTTGCTGTCCACGAGGTTTATTCTATTGAGATGAGCATCTAGCGAGTAGTGGTTGGACATAAGTCTACTCATCACGCGAATGAAGTCACGACTTAAGCCCAAGCCTTTAAACCACGCTCTCGAAGAAACATTAGGAATAATTGAATGTAACCACCGTCCAAGATTTCCAGTGTCCCAATCGGTTTGCCAACTCGAAAGGGTACTCTGACGCACTAAATGGTAAAATTCATCGTGCGAAATTTGCCTGTCATAAAATTCGCCTTCCTGCGCACCCACCTTTGCGAGAGAGTCCGCCTTCTCATTGCCTGGGATTGAGCAATGTGAGGGGACCCATACAAAGGTAATCATATATGATCTTTCGACCAGCACACACATCTGCTCCCTTACCTTTGAAAGGAAATAAGATGAGTGCCTACCTTGTTTCATCGACCAAATAGCCTCAATCGAACTGAGACTATCCGTGAAGATGAAGTAATGGTCTGCGGGCATATTAGAAATCATCCCCAATCCGAAGTTGATTGCTGCCAGCTCAGCAACAAAAACGGAACAAGGTTCCTGAAGTTTGCGGAAGACGCTAGAGTTTTCATTGAAGACACCGAAGCCAGTGGATCCATTGAGACGGGACCCGTCTGTAAAATATCTTTTCATGCAATTGACTTGTTGGTACTTTTCAGTAAAAATACGCGGAATAATAATAGGTCGAAGTTGATCGGGAATCCCATGAGTTGCTTGTTTCATGGTCAGATCATATTCAATTGAGGAACTGCGATTGGTGAAGTGAACACGGTCTGGAGTATAACAAGGAAGACACATATCTCATGATATGTAGTGGTGGTAGATTCTCATAAATCGAGATTGTGTGTTCAGCCCAAGAATTTCTTCAAAATTAGCAATTATAAGTGTGTTTGTCACTCCGCATTTGATTAGTATTCTGAGAGAGAGCTCCCAGAAACGGTTCTGGAGGGGTGTTACTCCTGCCAGAACCTCGAGACTCATGTTATGCGTTGAGTGCATACAGCCTAGAGCAATACGCAGACAACGATATTGAATTCGTTCCAATTTTATTAGGTGACATTTTTTTGCCGAGAGAAAGCAGAAAGAGCCGTACTCTAGAACAGAGAGAATTGTTGTTTTATAAAGCGTTATGAGGTCTCCCGGATGAGCACCCCACCATGTGCCGCAAATTGAACGGAGAAAGTTGATCCTCTGCTGACATTTTTGCTTCAAATACGTAATATGGGCATTCCAAGTGCACTTTGAATCAAACCAGACCCCAAGGTACTTGAAAGACAATGATTGGGTAATGTTTCTGCCCAAAAGATTAAGCTGCATTTGGGCTGGGTACCGCTTTCGAGTAAACACTACCAGTTCAGTTTTCTGCGGCGAGAATTCGATCCCTAGATTCATAGCCCAAGAAGACAAGTTATCTAAGGAATTTTGCAATAGTCCTTGCAAGTCCACGGCATGTGGACCTCTTCCGGAAACCACACCGTCATCTGCAAGTTGTCTTAGCGTGCATTGTTCTGCCAAACAGTTGTCGATATCTTTGACATAAAAGTTATATAGAAGAGGGCTGAGACATGAGCCTTGGGGCAGGCCCATGTAACTAATTCTGGAAGTTGTCAGTTTTCCAAGAGTAAAGTTCATTTGCGTTTCTTACAACAAATTGTACAAGAAATTATTTAAAATTCCAGAAAGTCCACATCTGTGCAGATTGTCTGACAGAATTTCAATGGAAACTGAATCAAAAGCCCCCTTAATGTCCAAGAATACTGAAGCCAATTGCTCCTTGTGCGCAAAGGCCAGTTGAATATTTGTGGAAAGTAGCGCTAGACAATCGTTTGTTCCTTTGCTCTTGCGGAACTCAAACTGTGTATTTGATAGCAATTTATTTGATTCGACCCAGTGATCGAGTCTCCGAAGGATCATTTTCTCCAACAATTTCCTAATGCACGAAAGCATAGCAATCGGACGGTATGAGTTATGGTCAGACGCTGATTTGCCAGGTTTTTTAATGGCTATTACTTTGACATGTCTCCATTCAGGCGGTACAAT